TTATTAACATTTCCAGAGATACAAATTTGGCGTTTTTAAACTTGTTGATTATAAATGTTAAAAACTTATTTCTTCAAATTTTGTTAAAAACTTATTTCTTCAAATTTTGTTAAAAACTTATTTCTTCAAATTTTCTTTTAGGACTTTAAAGATTAAGAACGAAATATTACTCGGCTGAAGTTTCGATGTTAGGGATTGTTTTTTATGCGTTCAACAGCAGTAAATCGATTTTTCAAACTTTTTGTTATTTCTCCCGTACAATGAATCGCTTGAACCCAAAACTGTTTTTTCTTGAATAAGGTCACTAAAAGGGATGTTTTGGCAAAAGAAAAAAATTCAATTTTTTTTACGAGTTTCTTGTGATTTTCGATTTTCTCGGAAAATGGCTCTTAAAAGAAGTAAAGAAAAGAATGAAAGCTAGCATTGAGGCACTGCTGAAGTCTGCTGACCAATTTGCAGAAGAGGCAGAGTCGAATGGGAAAGTAACTCTCACTTCTAAGTCAAATGCAATGAGACGAAGCGCTAAAGAGAAAGAAGGAGAGTTGAAGTCCATCGAGGAGGCAATAGACAAGAAACTTGAAGCTCTAAAAAACTAGTTCTTGTATCATGAAATAGTAATTTCACACACCAATGGCAAAAACCCAAGGACTTTGTTGAAAAAGTGTACTGTAAAAAATAGTTTTGAGAACTGAGGTACTTGCTTTATGGTAGAAATTTAGTATACTGCTATTGTTTGGTTGTGTCACTGTAAGTTTTAGAACTAAACAGTTGAAACTGAATTTTTTTAAATTCATTGTTTTCATAGTTAAGACAGTTATTTCTTCTCGAGCCATGAAGAATCTCACTGTTACCTTGAGTCTGGAAAATAAAAAGAAATGGTCTGGAAAAAGTCTTGAATTCTGTCCACAAAAAAGTGTACGAACCCTGTAGGAGGGTGTGAATGGGGTTAACCGACTAGCGACAAAGGGCGTAAAAAATTACTGACTACCGACGAAACGGGGAAAAAATTACCGACTAGCGACAAATAAATTCTAACCGACAACCGACATGGTCAGACGTGATAGAGATGTTTGTATTCAGAAAGAACAGCATTTTGATGATTTCTAGCTCAGAAAATCCTTCTTCACCCGACGTAACCACATTAATTCCAAATTTAGCCGAATTATAGAATTTCTTGTCTTCAAATTACTTTAAATCCACGGGATCCTTCTTTTCGGTGAGCAGCGTGGGCTCATTTCTGGAACAGTGGCTCGTAATCGGGCTGACAAGACGCCCTGCTGTCTCATTTCAATAACAGCGGATCACAATCGAGCCGACGAGACGCCCTGCTGTTGTCTTTTTATTGCTCGTTGTTTGTTCATGCGGTCGGGTCATGACTGGGATTGCTAAAGTCATCGTGAGTTTTTTTCGAAAAGGTGAAGAAGTCGCCATCGAACGTCGTCGAAGCAGGGTCCCAGTAGACAAAGAAGCTCATAGAGGAGTATCTGAACTAAAAAACATCTTACGGAGTTTTTAGGACTAAAGGAGCAGGCACATCAATATGGAATTGGCGGATTTTCGTTAAAGTTATTTCGCCTGGCGAAATCGCCTGCGGGCAAATGCGAAAATTTTGCAATTGTGACGGATGGGCAATGGCAGCTTGAACTTCCAAATTTAATATCTGATTAAAGTAGCAGTGAGCTCAACGGTAAGTGTGGAACGCGTGCAGCGGAGTTTGATCAATCACTTTAGTTCTGTAGTTAAATATTAAGCTCAAATATTAACGTGGTTAAACTCTGGTTCCACCGTTTTTTGTTTGTTGTTTTGTGGAGCGGAATGTTTTTTTTTTCTTTTTCACCGTCCGTTTGAATGCGAAAATTGAGAAGAAAAATCTCTACAAAGAAGTAGAGAGTAAATCAGTTTATAAGCTTCTTTCTGATTAATTGGTGAATGAACAACAGTGTAGCTTAACATATTAAAGACCCCGTTTATTTATACACGCCCTTAAATTTATTCGTTTCTGAAAACCAGACGTTCAAATAATATTCAATTCTCTCCTCGAGGGAAGCTACGCACGAGAGATTTCGCTCGATGTGCACGTTTTATACATCTTGACGAGCATTTGCTGATAAGAACTGTGTAAGTTTCTCAAAAGCCTACTAAAGAGAAAACTTAAAACACACGGTATTTAATATTTTAGTACACATTATCCAAGAGGTCACAAACTGGACCGGAAAGCCAGTAGTGTTGCTGAAGGCGCCGGCTACATCTGATAAAAGCAAGCAGAAGTCAATGAAAGACACTGAGAGAAAGGTGACGAGTCAAAAGGTGAGAAGGAAACGGAAATCACGAGAAGAAGCAAAAGAAGATGAAAATCTGGCAAAGAGGATCATGACTGAAGGAGGTGACATCGAGAGAAACGAAAGGCAACAAGGAGACCTTCAAAAGTTTCAGGATGGTAGGGCTGAATTAGCACTTGTAGTTCGTTTACCTGATTTTCAAAAGTCATAAATTTCGCTACTTTGGAAATTCTGCGGTGTTCCTTGTTTATAAACACTGCCTTGTTTTTACAACGAAAAACGCTCACTTGGTGCGTTCGCTAAGTAAAGATAGTTTCTTTTAAATTCCGGCTAAAAACTGTATTATTATCACTTTGATGGGCATTGTGGCGCATTTTGCGTGCTAAAATAAAGAATTTGCCGGGCTAAAATGTATTTTTAAAAATAAACCAAGACAACCAATGTTCGCGCCGTCTTCTTGTAGCGTTGGTAAAAGAAACGGTGGAGCTATTTTTAAAGCCCAAATCATGACTGAAAACACAGAAAACAACAAGTTGAACGAGACGTCTGCAACCAATGGTCCACAGGGAACTGTATCACAGAAGACGCAAGTATCTGTGTCTTTGCTTAAAAAGGGCATAGAAAGGCTGTACAAGAACGTGATGGACATTAACTCCCAATTTGTAGATGATCTGCTGCTCGAAACGTTGCTCACAACAGTAGTGGAAAATGTGCACGCTGTTTCACACCTTAAACACGAGACATTTACGGTACTTACATATGCCCAGGATTTTGGAACAATTTGCAAGGAATCTCTGAAGCGCACATCTAGATGGGCAGCAAAGTACTACACGCATGACAAATCCTACTATCCGGTACCTCAATCCGCCATGCCCCTTTCTGCTATAGCTATGATGACACCTTTGCCAAGTGAGGACATAACACCAGGGATGGAAGGACAGATCAAAGAGTGGCTAGAGAGTTACAGACCAGTACGCCAACGGACGGTTAGGAGTGAGACCACAAAAGATAAGGCTGGGGCCTTGCCGCCAGCTGTCTACGCCGTTCACCACACCGACAAGTCTGAAGAGAGGCTTTGATATCCTGAAGAAAACACTGTATCGTCAGCAAATGCACAACGCGTTGTCAGCATACAATTTGTGGACGAAGGGGATGTTACTGAGGTATTTGAGGATCACAGAGAAGTACAATTCGATGAGTATGAGACAGATTCGGATGACGAGGAATCGGATTTTGAAGAACATCCAGAGGTTGTCAACAGAGCGTGTGTTACCCGATCCGGCAGGGCTGTTCGTGCATTTGTGCGTCTCGACATGTAAGAGGTACTAACAGTTAAAAAATCCATTTAACGGCGCAGATTGATACGTATGACAAAAAAAAAAGAAAACGAAAAAAATGGCAAAAAAAAAGAGAAAAAAAAGAAACCTCGTAGAAAAGCCACTAGAGCCGTTGAATAATAAGTGTAGTGAGTTTTTGTGGACGTCTCGGAAAAAAGACTTCAGTAGCTTACAAATTAAAATTAGGTATCCCAGGGGCTAGAGTGGGTGTTTCATTCTTTGTCTAATTTACCTCTCTTGATTTACTTCGATGCCCCGTAGTCGACAGGAAACAAATTCACATCTATAATAAAAACTTTGGTGAATTTTATCGGTATACTAGATTTGCAAACAAAAGTGGGGTAGATGAGCACGTTGCTAAATTAAAAAACAGCGTTAACGAGGTTTAAGTGAAAACAAATAATGAATTATTACAAGTATTACACTTCGTCTAGAGTTTAAAGTCTTAAAACTGGGCAAATTGCATAATAACATTTCCTCTAGCCTTCTTACAAAACTTCAACCATGTTCCTCTCCTTTCCGCTTTCTAAAGTCTTCCGAGGATAATTTTCGAGATTTTGGCTTATCCACTTTTTCAATGAGCTCTTTACCACAAGAACAACAGAAGTTGGCGGCGCTGGAAAGAACCTCGGCAGCGCAATGGGTACAAAAAAACTTAACTTGGTCCGGTCGTCACAGTATCGCCATTCCCGCCATTTTAGACATTGAATTGCCAGTGCCAGTCTCTCCCGATTCCTGCGCGCGCAGAGATTCTTAGTTTCTGTTTGCAGTAACTTTTACTTGTTTGCTAAGGATGGGCCGATACGGCTTTTTGGAATTGATACGATACCGAGTACGATATTTCCTTTTTTCTTCGATACCCATCTCGATACCGATACTGTGATGTCATTGAAATAAATGTAAGTCACGTGATCTAATTGACTAAATTAAGGCACCCTCGCACGGTTTCCGGTTCAGTTCTCTATAGTAGCATCAAAAAGACAGCCAAACAAGTCAAAAATTTCAATTTATTGGGACACATTTTTAATTTTCTTGAGGAAACGAAGAAGACCGCAATGGTAGAATCTTTAAGCAATCTGCAGGTGAAATGTTACCAGTTACTGCACAGGTGACTTTTATTAACCAAACACGGGTGCCCGACTTATTATGGAGCTTGCGCTTTAATATTCGATACATCAGAGCCTCCCTGGTATACAGAACCATACAGAAGGGCCATATTTACTATTCGACGAGTAAACATAGGGACTTGATACATATTACTAGACCTCAAGTGAAAATCAATATCGTTAAAAAATAATATCGGGTAACTAACGTCTACTTTACTTTCAGCCAGCCAAGTTAAAAAAAAAAAGAGCTTAGATAGCAGCAGGTAAAGGAAAATTTTTTAGATATTTTTGTTTAAAAACAAGAACATGTTCACATTCTTTGGCTTCAGCCGATTACGCCTCATGAAGACTAGTTCCCCTGCTTTAGAGAACACCCTTTCGGCGGGAACAGATGTTCCAGGGATGCAAAGATACTTCTTCGCAATTTTTGCGATAAGTTCATAGTATCGCTCATTCTCCATCCACCACAGTAAGGGATCTTGGAGTCTTGCCAGCACTGGTTCTTCAAAATACTTTCTGGCTTCCAGTGTTACATTGCTGGTTGAGGTTCTTTGTGATGTTAATTGCTTGACCACTGTGTCGAAGAGATCCCACAGCCCAGCTGCTTCAGTTGTATTACTGGGCTGCCTATCTTCATTGGAATCATTAGTCTGGATATGCCCTGACATCTCCTGAACAACCCACTGCTCTGCCTGTCTCACGGCTGCCGAGTCATTGAACGCCAATTTCTTCATTCGGGGATCCAGTAAGGTCGACATCGCCAGCATGCGAGCGCTTTCGATATTTGTGAAGCGGCGTCTCATCTGGTAACTAAGGTTGGAAACCAGGGGTGTGTCCTTTTCTGTAATCTCACCAGTCAAACGCTGTAGTGATTTCGCCAGACGTGTCACCTTAGAAATGGAGACATGCTTGTCTGCAGACATCTCTTTGGTTGTTGCCTAAAAGGGTATTAAAAACGGCCATGGCAGCTTTCAGCAGGCTTACATCAGAAGATGAAAGACACATTGCATTACGACCAGAGAGACAAAGTGCTGTGGTAATGGCTTGATGTTGCTCCGTGATGAGTTCAAACATTAAGTAAGTTGAGTTCCATCTGGTTTCCACTTCTTGGATGAATTTGTTCTCAGGAATTCCCAGCTGCAGTCGTATCTCCTTCAGCTTTTTTGAGGCCTTAACGCTGTGGTGGAAAAAGCTCACAATGTCCCTGCAGCTCTTTCTAAGCTGATGGATCTTTGTGTCAGCCTTAATTGCCTCAGAAACCACTAGATTCAGGGTGTGTGCAAAGCAAGGGACATGTATCCAACCAGTGTGTCTGACGGCAGCAACAACGTTGGCAGCATTGTAACCATCGCAACAACTTTTCGGGAAATTCCTCATTCTTCCGCAAGTTTTTGGAATGATGCCGCAATGTTCTCAGCCGTGTGGTCTTTTTTGAACCGAAACGTCTCTAGAACCAGGGACTTGAGTTCCCATGTGGAAGTAACAAAGTGGCAGGTGATGGTAAGATAACTTTCCGTTTTTCTTGATGTCCATAAGTCACTAGTCAGAGCTACGTGAGAAATCTGCAGAAGTTCCCGCTTTATCTCTCCGGCATGGGTTGTGTACATATCAGGTAGCAAACTTTTCATTATGTGTCTTCTGGAGGGCGTCTGGTACCGAGAATCAAGCAAACGCACCTGCGACTGAAATCCGGTGTCCTCTACAATGGTTGCTGGTTGCATGTCTATTGCAATCATTCTTATAAGGGCCTCATCAATGTTCTTGCTTCGCGCGCATGTCGGCGAATACTTTTGCCAAGTTTGTGCCGTCTCCGATATGGTACGCTGCCGCAGGTTGTCAGCGGTCTTACGCCTCTTGGATGCTTTTTCTTCCTCCTCTTTCCTCTGGTTTTCAGCTTCCTTGTGCTGAGCCGGGTGTTTTAATTTCAAATGCTATAAAAGAAAATATGAATAATCTTCAATTTATGATAAAATATTAAAAAGCCCTTCAAACTTCAGTGGACAATACCTTTAATAGATTTGACGTGTTGTTTGCATGCTTCACAACATCAGAGCAGAGAGTGCTTTGTGAGGTTCCCACAACTTCGGTAGACCTTGTAAAGAAATGCCACACAGCACTCCTCAGGCGCTTTCCTGTAACAAAGTTTCCTAACGAAGAAGCGTTTGCCTCGAGGTTTCAGTTGTGAATCGCTTTCGGGATAGACTTGGTTGTCTACAACAACTACAACCATAGTATGTACTAAAATATGTTGGAGACATACGGCGCTTCCATTGGCACTTGAGAATTAGAAGTGACCTCTGAAATGTCTGACATACTTCCCAGAAACAGTTATGGACATGTAAGTCAAGCTTAGGAAACGGAAGCAAGATTAAGGGCGTATTTAAATCGCAACTCACTGACGTTGATCAGTTCACTCTTACAGCGCTCACATTGTCATTCGCTGTCGTTGCTGCGATTCGTAGAGTACCAGCAAATTAACGTTCTCACGATTCACCAAAAATTATCGTTTCCATAGCAATATAGACGAAGTAATGTTCAGGTGCGATTTTCCTGTCGGAAATCATACTAGACAGACTTTGCTGTCGTCTCATGCTTATCTATCATTGTTTTTTTTTTTTTTTTTTTCTTTAAGTCAGTAACCTTTCTCAGCGCTTTTCTCGCTCGAGGTTTTTCTTTAGTAAGCAAGCATAGTAGTTTGCAACTCATTTTTGTTACTCCAGATATGTCCTTGTAATGCCTGGATTGTTGTGAGTTGTGATTTTGTTGCTGTTGTGTTGAGTGACTTTACATTTACAGTTTACAAAGTCGGGTCTGTTGCTCCAGTATCATTCTTGTCCTATGCACGTGCAGCAGCCAGTATCCTATTTGACAGTGAAATGTGCACTAGGGAATGGAAGAAACCGCCACTTTGACCGGTACACTGCGGCAATCCTACACTGCACACGATTGGGCAAATGCACGATTTTGAGCCCGGAATCTTTTGGGCTACTCGTCAGCGGTTAGTCGCATGAGATTAAAGCGCGGGTAGGTCACGTGCAGTATCGAAAGAATCGATACTCTTCGCTAGTATCGATATTTTTCGATCGACCTCGGCATCGCTGGTATCGAATATTTGGTATCGGTATCGGCCCATCCTTATTGTTTGCAGCAACTTTTAGTTATTTGCAGCAACTTTTACTTAATTGCAGCAACTTTTATTTGTTTGAAGCAATAACATTTATTTGTTTGTAGTAGCATTTATTTGTTTGAAGCAACATTTATTTGTTTGCAGCAGTATTTATTAATTTGCCGTAATGTTTGCTTTTATTTGTCGGAACGTTTGTTAATTTGCAGCAACATTTTATTAATTTTACATAATGTTTTATTCTTTTTGCATCAATATATATTTGTTTACATCTACATATATTTGTTTGCACCAATATACATTTGTTTGCAGCTGTCCCCTGTCTATCAACTATTGCACTCAGAAGTTGAACTGACAATTCTTTGTCAGGTCAGACTCGGTTTGTGTCAATTTTGGGTTAATTCCATGGCAACATATTGTGGTACCACCTATAATTTCATGACATAATTGGTATGGGAAACAATAATCTGGTTAGTGCTGGCATACCCCGATGCAAAGATCTGATTGGTATGCAATATGAGATACATACCGGGTACCCTTATATGGGAATCTGATTGGTGTCAGATCCATACCTTAATACTGTGGTCTAATTGGTGCAAGCAACATGCCACTCGATACGCTGCTGTAGATTTTTTTTTTTTCAGAAAGAAGATAACTTAAAAACTATTTCTTTAGATCGGGTAGGCACAATTTGCTGATTCAAATGGTAAAATGCTCTCTTTTCAAAGAAAAAAAATCCCTACGTTTTATGATGGGCTGATCACACCTTTAAGTCATTTCTGCAAAGTAATGCTTTGTTCCTTCACTTGCCATGCTGAAATAATTGAGTTATTCATCGTCTTCTGCAGTACTCCGAAAACAAACAGCACCTGGAAAGAGTGTAATCACGTGCTAATTTCATGTAACGCATAAGGCAATTCGAAGAAATCATTATTTAGCTTTGAAAGACCAAAGATGTTCCAAAACAAACAAAAGCCAAGAGCGGGAAATATCAGGTAAAACTTGGCCAACTTTGTTGTGAGCTAAAAGGTTGTTGGTATCCTATTGTTACACTCACTCACCACACGGGACAACATTGCGGCTTCGCCTCCATAGGAGGCAGTAGCTTTAAAAGGAGACACTCTTGCAAAATTTGAAATTTATCAAATAGATTCCAAGTGCGTCCACCACATTTTGACGTCCTCTGTGATCTATTACTGAACAGACGCACGGCAACTTGGTATCTATTTGTTTTATATAATGATGACGTCATCTATACGTCTGTCCTCCAGTAGATCATCAGTAAGAACTAATCAGAATGCGTGCATAACTGAGCTTATTACATAAAAAAATTAGACACTAATATCCAAACTCCAGAATTAGACACTATGGTCAAAAATCAAAACTGGACACCTGTGCTCCAAAGTCACATTTGGACACTGGTTTCCAAGTCAAAAATCAGATTCTGGTGTTCTAAATCCCCAAATCAGGATGCTGGCGTCCGAAATAAAAAAATCAGACATCAGTGTTTCAAATAAAAAATCAGACATTAATGTCTACGTCAAAAATTAGATACCAGTATCCAAACTCAATAGTCCAACAATAGTGTCCCAAGTAAGAAATCGCACATTAGCGTTCAAAGTCAAAAATGAGACACTAGTGTCCAAATCAAAACTCGAACTCTAGTGTCCAAGATCAGACAACAGTGTCTGAATTCTAATTTTGAACAGAGTTTCATTTTTGATAGCTGAAGCCAATTAACATCTTACAATCATTTCAGGATAGCAAGTGACTTAAAACAAAACTTTTCCTCACAAAAATATCTTGAAAAATGTGATAGGCACATCATGAAAACTTGGAGGAAAAAATTTTCTTTGAAGAGAAAGCACTTCAACATTAGAATCAGTATAGTTTAAACATTGTTGAAGCCTCCAGGATAGAGGAACAGTGAGGTCCTTGAGCTGGGCCCCATAAACATGATAAATTAGCATTACTATTGTTATCATTATTATTATTATTGTTCCGCTTAGAAAGCGATGGCGACGAACTGATCCACCATAAATCATATAATTTGATTGTTATTTATTGGGATGATATTGCAATTATTCGATCTAGCAAAAGGACAATACAGAATCGTTTGTAACTATGTATAAGTAAATTCTCATACAATGATTGGACTCTGCTCAAAAATATAATTTGACAATAATATTCTACTTACTTCTGTGGCGGGCCGTTGGCTTCAGGTTTGTGACGATAGGTTTTTGCTCGCTATACTGAAATTTTCGGGAAACGTAAAAACGGGGGGGGGGGGGATTAGCTCGGTAGAGACCACTCGGGTTGCGAGAACGGAAACTCGTCACGATTTCCTGGCACACGGAGATCTACTTCGAGTGAGCTTGTGCGGACGTCAAGGAAGAGACAGCGTTTTGGGTCCACAGTAGACTTTCATTCGCACAGCGCTCTAACACACAACATGCTAGAGTCAAAACTAAAACTGTAATCATCAAAGCTGTACAAGGTACTTGCTTAAGAACTAACTGGTGTGAGGTGCTATTGTTACACAAATCGCAATATTTGAATAAGGACACAAAGGAGCGGAAAAGTCTCTTTGAAGTTAAACGAAAACTACTTAGATATTCCATCTGTTTCTACGAAGGAAAGAATCTCAAAATTAAAAGACCGATGCAATAAAACTCGAGGCCATTAAAAATAGGAAACTTAGGTGCGAATTCACAGCTCTGGTATAGAAAATACTACCTATCTCAATTATAGCAGAGCAGCTTAGGAAACAAAAACGGAAAAGCAATTAAAAGTTTCTGCTTATCTATGGAAATTTGGTGTGGAAACTATTGTATGAAAAGAATTTAAAGTTACGAGTAAAAACTCAGCTGCTATCTACCCTGAAAACCAACTTTTCCAGAAAGACCATTAACACTTATAGTTACCTAAAAAAAACATGTAATAAATGACAAAAATGCCGACAAGCAGGTGCGTATGATGAAAGCGAGTAACAACAAAAATCTATTCAAAAGCTACTGTGGTTTTTTTTATATTTTTTGATTTACTTAGATGGAAGAACTAGAAATGGTTAAATGTGAAAGTTTACGAATAAATATGTTCCGAATAACAACCACACGGAAAAATCAGTAAATTTTCCCGTAACAGGTTAGCTTAAAGGCTTGTTTCGGGTTAGCAAATTACACTAAACCTTTCCTTTTGAAATTGATTTACTGACTGGACTGTGATGTAAAGTACAAAGCTTAAATGTCAATCAATGTTCTGAATCACGTGATTCTCATCCATTTTTAACGAAACAATTATTGTTGCTGATATAATTATTTGTTATCGTTTAATTGTTAGTTGAATGTCAATTAGTCACTACATGTATATTCTTGAATCATCTCGCTCTTGTGGAAAAGGGCACTCATAAATATGTGGGATGGGGCAGGTTTCCTGTTTTGCATGTGATGACAAATCTCTTGCCACACTACCTTCTAGCGTCATTATACAACCTCTAGTTCATTTCAATGCCATAAAAAATGTGTTATGTCAGTAGCCACATGCACTCTTATTTGTCATTTCGCTTGGGAGTTCAAGTTGGCCAGGTTCTACTATATGGGCCAATCCAACACCACATTATAAGGTGAAATGATTCAAATTTCCAAGAACATACTGACTTGAATTTAGATTTACCTTCAAAAAAAAAAACACAAAAACACACAACTAGTAACTTCAAATCCTTAAAGAGGATAAAGCTTAGATGATGATGATAATGTACAATATAATTTTTGTAAACATATAAACTAAACATTTTATTTCAGCAAAAAGATGAAAAGTACACTATTTCAAAGAATCACTATGCTGACTAAAATGGAATGCATGATCATAAGGGTATGTAAGGAAGGATAAAATAAGTCAAGCACAAACGGGTTTAGAGGCAGATGCTGTTGAGGCTGCAGAGCAGGGACTTGTGGCTGAAAAAAAAAATGGAAAAATTCTTCATGAATAATGTAAACACAAGGACAAATAGTTAAGCCCTACAGATTCTTACTTCACGCTCTTAAAATGCACGCTTTTGAGAGAATACAGACCTTGAACTCTTGGTCTTACCCTGATTAATGGGAGAAGCTCATAAAAGCATCTATGAATTACGGTCAAGTTGCCGACGGTTCAACTTGCCAACGCCAACTCGCCGACGTGTAAAATTGAGTAGAAACATCGCCGAGTTGGTTTTCAATCCAGTACAACATATTGAAAAGTAAAAGATCTCAATTTCTTTTTTCTTCCAGCAAAGTTTATAGGGACCTCATGGCGAATAAAGCAAGAACAACGCCAATGACTAAGAAAGCTTCAGACACGACCGAGTTATTGTGTGACAACAACACTGTAAAGACTCATCATGTCAATCGGTCAAATTTTTTTAAAGAAAACTTGGCTTTCTGGACAAGATCTTCAGTAAAAAAACAATTCTTTTTATTTCCGACAAATTTTATAAGGATGTCAAGACGAATAAAGGAAGGTGAACATCGCCAATGACCAAAAAAGCTTTAGACGTGAACGAGTTAATGTGTGACAATAACACTGTAAAGACTCATCATGTCAATCGGTCAGATTTTAAAAAAAAAACTTGGCTTTCTCGAAAAGATCTCAGTTTTTTCCCCTATTGCAATATATATATATATGTGTGTGTGTCTCTATAATATATATTATGTATATGTGTGTGTATGTATATATATATTGTATAACATAATAATATAACATATATGTAAATCAAACCACTTCAGATCATGTTTCCAGATGTCATTAGCTTTTGATTTTTTTAACCTTATGGTTGCGCTGTGTAAACTAAGCTAACTACGAAATACAGGTTTCTCCAACATTATGAAATGAACTGTTTTTCACCATTAGATCCCTCTATGTAGGCCCAAGTTTCTACCTAAACACCAAAATAGGTCTTTTTAAACTTATGGGAACCCAATATTAGGAGAGAGGATTAATATTTCCTATTTTTTGACTGATACAAATAGGAATATGCCACCTTTATTCACAATACATACAAGAATATGCTGCAGGAAGATAAAAAAATTAGATCTTTCTCTGTCAAAAGAAAACAAAGACTTAGACAAGATGTAATACCTGCATTGAAGTGAGGCCAATCTTGGAATATGACTGGATCAGTTAATAAGTTGGCCACAACTGATGCTGCCATCACACAGGCAAATTTTTTCCAATCCTTATTGTAAGACTGGTTATCATTTGCAAAACCTTTAATTCCCTTTACTATCAGCCATTCTGTTTTATAATCATGGGCTGCAGTCCAAACTCCTGAAAGAAGACAGAAACGTTTGTTTGTATTGGTTATAGTTTCAATAATTAAAATCACTTTTTGGAAATCAAAGTTCACCAAGATTGGCACTCTTAATACACATAAACACAAACTTCAGGGAAAGTTAGTCATACCTGAGGCTAATTTCTGAATCTGATGATTTAAAAAATCTTGTAAAGAGACTGTAAAGTAAAACTACATTTTCACTAGACAACTCTTGATAAAGGCTTATCAGGGACTGCTACATTATTCCTCATGCTTCAACCTATTTAACATGATACCTCCTACATCTTTCAGAAGACAATTTTGGACAATTCATAACTACCTGATAGAGCTTACAAAATTCTAACAAACAATAGGTTTAAAATGCTGAGAACATAAAAATTTTCCTTTTTCTTTGCTTTTGTTCAGCCATTTAAACTAATTATGTGTGACAGATGTCATTTCAGTCACCCTGAACAGCAAAAGGGTCTTGCAGCCTGACACAAAATCACTAATGATACACATTATATATTCCTGCAAAGTCCTTGTTTTATATGATAGAGTACATCATTTCTTAGACTAGCAAACACAATTCCAGAACAGTCTCTTTGAAATCACTTCCCACAGGCCACATGTTAAAAAGGGAAGGGGAAATTTGATACACTGCTGAAAAGTCCCTAGCTCATCTTTATAATCATTATGATTCTCACCTCCACCTTCCTTTTCAACAGCAATTGCTTCAGTACATCCGCTAATTATGTCATTGTTTGCCTCTGAGACACAAAGAAACACTCCCGAGTGGATCTCAGGTTTATACCCATTTGCATTTTTCAAAGGTGCTTTCCATCCATCTCCTATATTACTGATAAGATTATTAATATTTCTCATGGGTGAAATTAGATATCCAGGTATTTTCAGCTTTGATGACACAACTACATCTCCCAACTTGACCTTTGATTTGTTAACACCATTGCATGCACCTACAGAAAATAAAGCCTTGGGCCTCAAAAGAAAGATGGCATCTTTTGCAGCAGACAAAGCTCCTCCAGGACCATCATGACCTTTGGAACAACGCATTAATGCAATTTTAATTTCATTTCCCCGTTCATCCTCCATGGAACTAAAGTATACAATACCAATACAGCCACGGGAACTCCTCATAATGGGATCCTTTAGGAAGCCAAAACACGATAAAAACTCCTCCTTTCTGACTGTGAATAACAAAATATCAACTGGGAGCTCAACATTTTCCCAATTAGTAGAGAGAAAAGAAAGCTGAGAAATCTCTGGAATGTCCAAACTGAGCTCTGGTGGGCTGATCTTGGAACTCTCTGGTGCTCCATTATGTGCATGATTATTAAGTTTTGACTCTGAAAAAGAAAAATGTGATTTTAAATGACAAAATAAAATACTACATACTGACCACATGTGTTAATACATGTAACATTGTTTGTGAAGGATTTTTTCTTAAGTACAGTTCAAAAACTGTTTTCAGTAACAATGCTAGTCTGACAAATAACTTTACTGTGACTTCACAAAAAAAAAATGAGACAGTTCCTCCACTTTAACAAAGAAGTGTGCTTCAGGAACCATAATATGATTTTTACCTCCACTTAATAAAATGATATAAAAATTTACCACTAACAATTGTTTAAGATTCCAATGAGTAAAAAAAACATTCTAAAAGTTTCTTTAAATTTGCTGAAAATTTGACTGCAGGAGGTTGCTTACTAAACCTCAAAAATATGATTTACTTAAGAATACATTTTGTGTAGCTCCTCGTAGTTGAAACAGATTGCTTAAAAATAAAAGGGGGCAAGACTTTGCTAAAACTCAAGTACAAACAAGCAACCATGTTATGAAGCAAGATTCCAAATAGTGGGGTTTCCAATTGCAGGATTTGGCACATTTGTAGACAATTTTAAAAAACATCAGTTTGTTGTTTTGATTCTCAAATGAATGCTTTTTAAATGGCAAAGAAAAAAATTCCTAAGGTCTCTGGCACATACTTTGCCTTTAATGAGCCATGAATGAAATTCTCAAACACTGTCGATACACCAGAGTGACTTAAAGACTCAGTATCTACTATTGCTTAGAAATGTCAATTAAACCCTCCATGTCCTCTTCCTTCCTGGCCTTCTTCACTGTTTTACCTTCTTCTAATTTGTCTTTGGTGAAGGCATCATCCCTCAACCACTCTCTCAACCGTATTTGATAATCTTCTGCAAGATCTTCACACAAAGGATCAACTTCAAGACCTTTGATAGTATCCAAATACCAGCGCCCTCCAAACCTCATGATGATTTCTTTGATGTCAGACCAGTGGGAACTGAAAGTTGTATCATCCACTGATCTGCTGGTATCATGATGGTGAATTCTGTCCCTAAGGACTTTCAAGCAAGTTATGCCAGCCATTGGGGAAGTATCTGTCACTGGAGGAAAGTTTTCCTGGCCAGTGACTGAGAGATTTAGACCAAGAATTGTTCTCAGAAGAAGAAGCTGTAAAGAGGAGTCAAAGTCTCTTGAGGAAACTGATGAATTGACAACAGGATACAGTTTTGACCACTGGCTTACACTCAAGACCCTCCTCTTTCGAAGACTTGATAGTTTGCTATAAATTTTGTAATCCTTCAGAAGTAATTCAAGTTTTTTCGGTGAACACACCTCGTTAAAGATCTTTGTTAGCACCAGTGTTCCCACCTCAATAAGAACATAACACAGTCTTGCATAATTATCTTTTCCTTTCTTACAAGGACACAGTGGGGTTGCTGAATTCATGAAGACATGTCACCTATTAAAATAAACACATAATTATTAGAGAAAACTTAATAAAACTCTGATGTGCCTGCCAGTTTGGAGCTTTATCCCCCTCCCCCAAGCCCTGGGCAACCCATGGGTATTTGACTGTCATTTGTGCCCATGGATTGAGGAATTTGAACCTTGCCTAGGTGGGGTGGGGAATTTGAACCAGAACTGTCTCTCCTGTGGAATGACTACACATTTTATCTTTTAATATGGAGGTATTTAAAGGTAAAAAGTTCACAGCATATGGCTCAGAAAGAGAGGTCCACAAGAAAGTTACTGGCCCTAATTCTAGAAAAAGGAAGATCAAATCCACACTTGTGTCAGGTATTGGTACACAATTTTGGCCCAGGAGGGGGGGGGGGCAGGAATTTGAATGAGCCAGTCTTAAAAAATTTAAGTGGCTGAAGGGTTACACAGGAGGGAGGCTACCTGAGGGAACATGTTGAAGCTTTCAATTGATCACTGCATACTGTACCTGTAACAAAACCAAGTTATCATGACTTGAAATCCAAAATATTGATAGATCATTCATTACTCAGCAGATACATTTAATCAGCAAGCAAGTTTGCAATATTTGATGATAATTATATGGACAAAAGGCCTTCACACAAGGTGGGGAGGTGTGCCAGTTGCACAATTTGGTCACAGACCTGTGCATAATTTTAATTATTTTAAGGTCAATTCCTCTTAAAGCACCCTTTATTTTAAATCAAATGCTACAAACAACTTTGTCAACTTTGTCCAAAACACAGAGGTAACAAGGCCAGCTCCATCGCCCGGTGCAGTCCTGGTCATAAAGAAAAGTTGCGTACCCACACATGTTGCAATTGACAGTTTGCAATGCTTAATCAATCATTTTTGTTTTGAAGACAAAACAAGAAGCCACTGGAATGATGTCATGTTTTAATTGTTTCTATAAGAACTTCACTCCATAGAAATAAGGAAGATATGTAACTGTACACACCATATTTTCCCTTAAACAGGACGCAGAATTTCTCTTTACTACATCTACAGAATAATATATAGATTTAGCCAAGCCTAAAAGTGGAGCTTGCATTTTTTTTTCCCCACACGTCTCAAGGGCACAACGCCTTGCCCTGGCCTGGACTAGAACCAGGATTATCCAACTCGGAGCCCAGTGCACTGACAACTGGACTACTGAACAAAGCTGTGGTGTTGGTGTGCCTGCAGTTGACCACGCATGTTAAAAGTAGCACCTTGTATGGTTGTATGGTAGTACGGTCGTACGACCGTACAGTCATACATCCAAATTTTTTTGGCTTGATGGGTTACTACTATTTTGTATAATTATGGGGCTACACTCTGCGAGCTCCACTATCATGCAGACAAGTGATGAGAATAAAGAAAAATATCAATTATAGGATTACTCATTGATCTGACACCAAATTCTCCAAACTGATATAATGAGAATCATTTGGCAGACAGTGAGGAGAATTACTAATGAGATCTTGGGAGTTAAAAGGTTAAATGTCAAAAAAAGGTTTAATGTACAAACACTCCAGACTCTTATGTGGAAATAAGATAAATTGAAACAAATCAATCAGCCAATGACCTTTCAGTGTTGCCACCACTTGTGTTTCACATCAGATTGTAAACAATTGAGCTGATTCACAATAGTGTTGGTTTTGCACCTAAACTCAAAGTATTCTTTGTTTGAAATTACTTAAAAAAGTTTTAAGATGAAAATTTGTGTGTTAAAGGTGAGAAATGATTAAAATAACTAATGTGAGATGTTTTGCTCTCTCTTGATGAGATTGCTCCAAGAGCTTCCAACAACTCACAGAGTCACTTGTTGCTGTTAATTGTTTTCTTGTTTCTCCATTACTTTTTACTCTGTTTAACAATAATCCTATCAAAGAGGGAAGCCCAAGTCAAGGCCACTGCAGCCTTCTGTTCATTTTAAACCGAGCCAGATTTATAAATTTTACAACTTTTTGTTGCTAATGGTTGCTAATGAGTTCTGATCACTATTCACTCATTGTTTTTTCCATCAAATAAATCAAAAGTCTGGGATGCAGTCTAACACGGGGATCTGATGTGATAGCAAAGAAATGATCTTTGCAAGTCAGCTGCAATTAAGCAATTGCAAAGCACAAGCCTGAAAAATTCAGGCATTAATAGAAGTTTAACCTAAACCTTCCAGATGCTAGTTAAGGGCCACTACCCACTGGGAGCAAGATAAATTTGAGTGGGTTTTATGTTCTCATAGAGGAATCTGATCACACTTTTTTTTAAAGGAATAAATTTTATTTTGAACTCTGGACAAAATTCAAGTGAAGTTATGATCCTGGTGGGTTAGCTGCAATTTGAGTAAAGGCAAATATGAAGTTTGGAAAAACTCAGGCTTCAATAGTAGGTGCATGGGGAATTGACATCAGAAATGAGTGAATATTAGTTACAGAGAATCCAAATTAAGTCCACGTGCTATCACAAAACTGTAGTTGCTCTGTGCATTAACACTTTACACCCTAACATCAACATCCATATTTTCCATACTCTTCTCTATACATTTCTTTTAGTACTGACAAGTAGAATTTGTTTGACAATCAAAGCTTCTATGGGTGGCGATCATTTCCTTTATTCTCATGATCTTAATGAATGATTCAGGAGTATTACTGTAAGGAGAAATTAGATGCTGTCATTCTCAGGGTTTAAAGGGTTTATAAACAAATAGTTTGACGTCACTAATCAACGAAGTGCTGATGAAAGCATATTATCTTTAACACACGCCTCGTAGCAATCTGGCTAAATTCGGCAAAATGGTAAGGAATAAGTGAATCAACTTCAAAGTCTGCTAAATACATATAGATATTTCGTACAATGGTTCGCAAAAACGATCGTGTCACCACAGTCAGAAGGTGCAAAGCACAGCGACAATATTTGGCTCTGAAGACACTACTTCCTTGTGAGTAATACAAGAATCAAGTTGAGAAGTATGTGGTAGTTGAATGACTTTACCTTGGCAAAAATCGTCCGCTTAGAAACGTCAGTACACATCATCCGCAACCCACACGCGCCGCCATTGTGATCAATTGTCAGCCATGTTAGAAGTTACTATAGCGTGGGCGACGAGCGGGGGAGGAAGAAATGACCGAGTGGTCAGCGGGAAAACAAATTTAATACTTCATACAGAGACATATCAGTTGTAATTTCAGAAAGCAATAGTGTTGTAAAGCCGAAATGTTAACAGTATACTTCGCTCAATAAAATGTGAAACAATTTTTCAAAAGTGTTGATGGCACATATATCTTTTACTGCTATATTAAGCAATGCAGGTATCGGGAAAGGCATCGGTTGCATTCGGAAAGGCACTAAGAAAAATTGTATTTACGTTTTGTAACTTGCTAGAGGCACAAGACCAAATAAAAGAAAAAAGAATTCAAATGTATTCTTAAAAAAAAAAACCAATTATTCCAAAGAATGTAAGACTGCAACTTGGAGTGCGCAAAAGCAAAATGTGGGGCAAACCATAATAAAAATTGGGCAAAGTCCACTAAGTATGCAAGCTGTACCTCTAGCTTGTGATATATTCAACCCCCCTTAAGATCCTACCAGCTAGAGGTACAAGACCAAATGAAAATAAGTACGTGTATACTTATTCTTGAAAAAAGTGATTCAAAGGGGTATAAGACTAATTTGGAGTGCAAAAAGAGTCAAATGTGAAGCAAACTATTTTAAAAATTGGGCAAAGTTAAGTAGATATGCAAGCTGTACCTCTAGCCAGTAGTATTTTTTGAGCCCCCTAAGATCCTACCAGCTAGAAGTACAAGACCAAATAAAAAATAAATGAATGAATGTATACTTATTCCTGAAAAAAGTGATTCAAAGGAGTGGAAAACTAATTTGGAGTGCAAAAAAAGTAAAATGGGAAGCACACCATTGTAACAATTGGGCAAAGTTGACTAGATATGCAAGCTATACCTTTAGCCGGTAGTGTTTTCTAATCCTCCTGAGATCCTACCGGTCAGAGGTACAAGACAATAGAAAATTCATCTCGAGGACCTTTCCAACCACTATCACTATGACAAGGGCATTGGAGTGGCGATGCCATTCATTCATTCATACCATCGTTTACCTTTGCAACCGTAGGTCGTAGCGGCTACAGTGTTAAGCGAAGACTCTGCTGAACAAGAAACTTAAGATCGACGATGGCGTAGGAATCAGCCACACAAAATTTAGCGAAATTTCTTGGATTGAAACTCAACAATGTATACTTCACATGTAAAGCATGTTATATTGTTCGTGTCTGGTTCAATCACATCGCATGACTGTTAGTAAATTGCAAATGGTAT